AAAGGTAATCTACAATTTTTATATTGTCAATCTTGTTTTCGTTTAAAGTGTCTATACGGCCAACAGGGTTTTTATTGTTTTGGTATCTCTTTAACCTGTAAAAAAGTATTCTCAAAAAAAATTTTTGATTCTGACGCCTCTTCACCCTAAAATCGAGCTTTAAAGTTCCCGCTTCGGCCACGCCCAATGAAATTGACCGCGTAAGGGAAGATTGGTGATGAGTGACGTCACTCCAGGAGCGTCTCGAGCGTCGTGTTGTTACTTTGTTTGACAAACGAAGTACTTTTACAACACATTTATCGGGCATATTTATGTCGCCGAAAACTCTTTACCTTACTGAAAAACAGTGAAATGAACCACAGGCGGGATTTGGCACCTTCCTGACTTGACGTCAAGACCCATTCTGAACCCAATCTCTTTTTTGCCCCGACTCACGGTCACCTTCAATGGGCGTGGCCAAAGCGGGAAGTATAAAGCTCGATTTCAGGGCGAAGACTCGTCAGAATCCAATTTTTATTTAAGAATGCTTTTTTACATGTTAAATACATACCAAAACTATAAAAACCCTGTTGGCCGTATAGACACTTATACCAGAACTAAACTGAAAATGTAAAAAAATTAAGGAAGAAAATCATATTGTAATGTATAAATAACTCGAAGGTACATACTTAGTATGCAGGAACTGTTTCACGTAACTTAACGTGATTCGCTAGCTAAGTGAGAAATGATTACGATGCATGAAGATTGATAGCTTAGTAAGTGTCACCTTTACAAGCTGGTGACCAGCATTCTCACAGATTTTGAGCTAATACCCAAAGTAGAAAATTGTATAAGAAAGGACAATAAAGATAAGTCAACCTTACAAGGAGTGTTAGAAATATCATCTAACAAGCTGGTGGAGGTACCTCAGGCCGTGGACCTGGACGAGAGAACCAGCTTCCTCAAAGCCCGCCACGTTCGCCACCGCAAGTGGTTCTTACGAACGTACAGTACCACTACAATTTGCAGCGCTGCTGTTTCCAGAGACAGTACCTTGGGTGCAACCTCAAAATCTGACTGAGAATGTTGGTCACCAGCTTGTTAAGGTGGCACTTACTAAGCAATCAATCTTCATGATCATGCAACCAGCTTATCGCAACCTTTTACTGAATGGCTTATAGTAATACATTATTTCCATTCATGTTTCCAAAACCAAAGGTAATGAAACTCTTATAACGCTTCTACATAAGATATGTGTTAATTCTATCCTTTAATAACTAGCTTAGACAGGTTACCAGCAGCCTCATTAATATGCAGCTACCAACTACAAAATAAATTGTTCAATTCAAGTCTGTGCACAAAATTTTGATACAGAATGAATTGGCACTGTATTGCCTGATTGACTAACCTTGGTTTTCTCTAGTTCTCTTGATATAGTACTTTTTTCTTGCACTAGCAAGTTAACTTTGTCGTGGAGTTCAGAATTCTCTTTTTCCAGAGCGTTCAGTGCAGCCTCTCTTTGACGTAAACTTCTCAGATGTTCCCGGATGACCTCCTCACTGTCTGTTAATCTGTTTGTATAAAAAACCTAGAGTTTATCATTGAGTTTCTGATAATATTCTACCAGATTGTTCGGCCCTGAGATAACCGTGTCGTTGAGTGTACAGTGTATGAGTGCACAGTAAAACCTGTAGACACGAATACAAGTTCATTCTAGAATAAATAAAAGAGACAAACTTGTGACATCCACTAGGTTTCACTGTTCGGTTTCGAGGGAGACCGAGCAGGATTGCACTTCCAGGTTCCAGTCTCGCTCTGACAGACAGATTGATTTGTTTCCCAGTAGTCTCAAATTCAGCTCCTTGACAACGTCTACAGCCAGCAAGCATTTTAAAGATGTTGTACTTGATTTAGATTTGTTTGAGGCTATTCCTTAATATAAATTGGCTCAAGCAATAGGAACATCCGTGTTTCTGCTTCTGTAAAATGTTATCCTCTAAAAATAAAGCCAATTGTCGCTATTAATTTCAATTATGAACCGATTCCTCCGTGATTTCCACTTTTCCTCTTATCGGCGTTAGCTCTAATCTGAAGTTACAAAAGCGGAGAAACGTCATCCTATGTTCTCTCTTGTTTATTGAGAATAAATGCTGAGCAATTGACTCACTTGGCAAGTAGCTCTCGTTTCTCTCCCATCAGCTGTTTTTGAACGGCCTGTGTTGTGCCTTTGAGCTCTTCCTCCTTGTTCATTCTCTCCTGAGTCAGCTCCAAACTGCTCTGCAGGGACAGCACTGTGGACTCGAGGTTTCTCTTTTCACGTGCAAATCTATCCCTAAAATCAAGAAAATCTACTTTGGAGTAATTTTCAACTGAATGTCAAGAGTAATCCCGCAATGCAATGATTTTATTCCACTTCGCTCAGATTGGTCTAAAAACTTACCTTTCCTCAGCTTCTCAACCAAACATATCCGAAAGCAAAATCAATTGCACGTTGGCCATTCCCTTTCTCAAACGCTAGAGGCCGCTAACATGCATTACGTATAACTTACTGCAGTAAATGGTTTGAACCCGGGGGTAACATGTGAAGGTGTAGTCTGATCGTCCGGGTGAGTGTAGTCCTGAGAAGGACTGTTGTCGGTGGTAGTGACTGACGTTTCGACAACCTGTGCGGAAGTCATCATCAGAGTCAAGTCAATGATTGTTGTCAGTAGAATGTTCTTTGTATGGAGTTTACTAAGCTGGTTTACTAACTTAGAACAGACTCCCCTAAACAGATGTCAACAGCTACCCGCTCCATACAAACAACTCATTCACGACATAAACATCACAAACGACCGAAAAAGAACGACCTAACTTTACCGACAGATCGAAACAGACCAATCACGACCGACTTACGTCACTTGAGTCTTACAGCCAATAACATCACGGCAAAACCAACCGATCATTTCACACGAACTGGAATAAGAACATTCTACTGACAACAATCATTCACTTGACTCTGATGATGACTTCCGCACAGGTTGTCGAAACGTCAGTCACTACCACCGACAACAGTCCTTCTCAGGACTACACTCACCCGGACGATCAGACTACACCTTCACATGTTACCCCCGGGTTCAAACCATTTACTGCAGTAACAGTAATGAGCCATTTCACTGGGTAGATGGGCTCACAGTTCTTGTTGCTGTCATTCTTGGTGTGTGTCAATGTCGGGTTGATTTCATCGCAACGTATCGTGGTACCATAATTTCCAGACATGATTAGCAAGNACTACACCTTCACACGTATAACTTACTATTGGCTCTTTAACCCCTTATCAGAATTGTTTCTTCTTATGCTTTCTATGCTCTTTCCCATTGTGATAAATAAAAAGAGTTAACTGAACTAAACTTTGCGTAGAAAATTCAAGACTCACTTGAGTGATCTGATTGTGGCATGAGCCTTGGTTTTTCTCTCGTCGTTTTTCCTCTGTAGTTGATCAATTCTTTCAGCAGCATTAACCAACTCTCCCTGTAGGTACTCCACTTCTTGTTGGAACTCATTCACTCTTTCTGTCAGAGACTTGGCGTCATCTTCCTTTTGCTTATGCTATCAAGAAATAACCAACACGAAACGTTTAGATCAGCCTCTTTTAGTTTGTCTTGCAAATTATCGGATAGTATGGCCCTCAGAACAGTCGTAACTTGTTTCTAGTCCGCGTTTTTTCGCTGGTCACTCTTTCTCTCGCGCGTGACTCGCGCGCAATTCGCCCATTGCATTTGACTCGCGCTTTCCCCCACTGACCTATATGGGTCAGGACTCAAAGCCCTTTATGACTGATTTTCACTGTCAAGTGAGGTGTATCATACAAAAAGCTTGCTCTTCGGGAATAATATGTGATACGCAAGATATGTGCAGTTTTTAGCGCAGGCTACTCGTCGTAAGGCATGATATGTTGCGAGCGCGTGACACAAGAAGTTTGATTTTTGGCTGATTTCTTGTACATTATGAAAACAAAAGTGCACAGCATGTAGTGTTTGAGAAATTTCGGCACAAATGAAAAAATGAAGAAAAAATGAAGAAAAAAATGAAGTATTTGAATAAAACGTACGTGAACGACCAAGTAAATAAGCAGCAGAGAGATACACAACCTTATCTCCAGTATTCTTGACCTTCTGTTTCAACGCTTCTATCTTGGTCTCCTGTTCTTGAACTGTGTATTGCAGCTGAGCGTCTCTTTCACGAAGAAGTTCAACTTGCTTTTCTAGTTCTTGTACTGTTTGATGTTGAATTCCCCTACAAAGTCAAGAAAGGATCTCTTATCCATGCACAAGTGATGGCGCCAGAGCGATATATTTAAATCAATCTTGCAACAAGACAGGATTCAAAGGCAACCATTTCACTTCAGTTCATTCAGTACGTAAATAGCATGGGAAATAACTCTTCTCACACACAACTGGGAGCCATGCCAAGCCGACCATGCAGCCCGACCTTTATTCTATCAACACGATGAACCATTAGGGTTACAACACTAACAAAACAGCTGAAACTGAGGCTAGATACAGAAGGCTAACATGCACGAATAACTGGAACTAAGGCACTACTTGAAATCCTATATCCCTAAAAACATATAGAGGGTGGGTGGGGAAGGTCAGGCAATGGCGGAAGGCAACAAAACAACTGAACCTTGAAATGCCATGTGACCTGGAGACGCCCCAAACACTCGAACCCATTCTCCCAGCTGCGTGTGAGAAAAACGTTTTCCGCTTCTTTCGTCCCTCAGCCAGCGGAAAACCACACTTTTCAGCTTATCCTCAAAATTCATAGAAAACTGGTGACATTGTACGTTATTTTCACAGTGATAAATCTTACAGTCATTTAATTCAGACATAATTATAATACTTAGAAAACACTGGCAAACTTAAGCAGAACAAGCATGTTTTCTAACATGCTTTCTAAGACACTGACTTCATCCTACTTTTCCTAACAATGAACATTGCAAGGGTCCTAAAGTATTAAAAACTAGCTAACTACCGAGCAAAGTAAGATGAACTTTTCTTACAACAACGTCAGTTTAAAAGGAAATCTCTCCACTTTTGACCCGTTCAACAGATAGCACTGTTTAACAAAGTAAATTTAAAATTTTGCTGACAAATAACACCACCACCTTGTTTTGTTCTTCTCAGTGCAAAAAGTTTAACCTCATTTTTAATATAAACTCAATGGTAATAAAAAGAAATCTGATAGATATTAATTTCTTTGAGCAATCATTAAAGGCATTTACTCATTAAAGCAAAAAAATTTAAGAAACAGTTAAGATTATTATTCAGAAACATTCGTAATAAAGTTCTACAAACAATGTTATGTTTACCTGAGCATCTCTTCGAGTTCTATAACATCACAAGCAAGTCTGGCAAAGTTTAAGTATAGAGGTTGGCAAAATTGATCCAGTTAGTATCAGTTGGAGTTAATACGAACGAGAATCAGATTTAGGCGCATTTACAGTGCGTCTAACAGTTATAGCATTTTTCCCTCAAAAGTCGATTTAGTTTTTTTTACTTTACATTACAGTTACTTTTAAGAATTTAAAATAAACGTCATCTTCTGTCGAATTGCCAGAATATGACTATCATATTGTATAGCATATAAACTTAAATCTTACATTTTGTTATTTTGTTATTTTGTGATGCATAAATTAATTACGTGTCAGGACTTTAAGTTTTACTTTCGTGTTCTTTGCTAAACCAGTAAGTATTGCTAGTTTAGTCATCAACATCACCTGTTAAACTTTTTCTTAATTTTCTTAATAGTATTTGAAATTCGTTTAACAAAATCAAGGTTTTTTACTAGAAAAGTTGTGTCAATTAAAAGAGAAATTTATGAAAAAAAAAAAAATTGAAACTGAGCTCAACGATTCAAGAGCACTGATATGAAATGTAAAAAAAGTTAACAGTTGAATCGTCATTGATCGAATTTCCGTAATAGTATTGAGCATAAATTTTTGTAGAATACGCATGATATTGAGATTTACTTGACAAATAATTGTCAAAACAGAAAAATGATGTTTCTTTACTTCTATAACCATGTTTCTTCGTGTTAGTTCACTTTCGATGGGTGCCGATCTTTTCAAAGTTGTGAATAACTTCCGTAACATAATTGCACGATTCCAGTCACTTGCCTTTTAAGAATTATCTAGTATAACATTCGTCTAAAATTAGACACCATAACTGTATTTTACACTCACAGTTAGGATAAAAATAGCATGGCTATCACTCACTTGTTAACCTCTTCCTCTTGCAGATGAACTCTAAGGGTGTTATTTTCTTCAGACGTAAGCTTCATTTCAGCCAGTTGCTCATTTGCAAGCCTCAGTTCTGACTGTGTGAGCTCCAACTTTTCACTGATACCCTCGAACTCGTGCCTTAAAACTGCCAACTAAATACATAAAAAATTCTTAAACTTTAACTGTAAAAAACCAATCTGTATCTCTTTTACTCGTTACACCCTAACATCAGAGTACATATTCTCCATAACTGTTCTCATACATTTCCTAAGGGTATGCCAAGGAGAATTTGTACAGTGTTCAAGAGCTTCATTAGTTGGTGATCATTTCCTTTATTCTCATGACCTTAATGTTTGATTCAGGGGTAATACTGTGAGGAGAAATGAGATGCTGGTCACCTACAGGGGTTAAAAGGCTAACCGTGTTACGAATCGCTAAAGGAAGTCAAGGAAGAAATTAATGGGCGGAACTGGCAAAGATGGAAATAGACTGATAGTTTGAAAAAACAACGGCCTTAAAAATATGGCAAAATAAATAAAGAACTACAGAAAAGTGAATAAAAATGGAAGACATTTTACCTTAGTTTCAGCCTGCTCTGCTTGTTGTTGAGCGGTATCCTTAGCAACCAGAACTGCGGTGTGTTCTGCTTGTCTCCTATGAAGAGTACTTTCTGTTTGACGCAGCTGCTGCATTTTCTGTACGAAAAAAACAAGTAGTGTGTCACTAAAATTATCAGTGCTTGAAACAGCGAGTGTTCAATCCCAGAAGGAAAAAAAAAGTCCACTGTTCTACAAGTGTCCCACCACTTCGTATACTTCATGAAATAAATCAAAAATCTGAAATAACACCGTTACAATTTCAAGGTTGTCCATATAGTACTGCCACAGAAAGGCTTAAATTATTACCATGGTGATGACACGCTGAAGTTTTAAAGCGTACCCTCGTAGAGAACTTACATTTGCTGTGTCCCACGTTGATGACAAAATGAATCACAGCAACATAAGAGCAGGTAGTTTTTATGACAAAATTTATTAAATTTCTGGCATTTTTATCACAATTAACTAAAGAATCAGCCCCTCAGCTTACTAATCGCAGTTTGATTTTCATCGTTGTGTTCGTTCTGAAGAGTTATTTACCAAATTGGTTTTCATACATCTTCTTTAACATTAAACACTAACACTAATATCAGTATTAGACTGTATGCATATTCTTCATACCGTTCTCTACACATTTCTTATGGTGCTGCCAAAGAGGATCTGTTTAACTGTCTAGAGCTTCTTCAATTGGTGATCATTTCCTTGATTCTCATGACCTTAATGTTTGATTCGGGAAGAAATTAGATACCAGTCAACAGAAGCAATACCTTATCCAGTTCAATTTCTAGATGCCTCTTTGTTGTCTCCAACATGGATCCTTTCGCGGACAACTCCTTAATTTGTTCCCAGGCTTTGCTGAGCTCATTCTCTAGTTGTGCTGTCCTGTTTTCCAGGCTTCCTCTCATTTTACTCTCAAACTCCAAAGCTGTAGAAGCCTTAGTTCCAGTGTGACTGGCGTTAGTGAGCTCTGCACGAAGGGCAATAAGCTCCTAGAAGAAAAAAAAAATGCAAGGTCTTGAGTCCGTTAGCCTTGTGTTGCTCTTCGTCTCAGTTTAGAAAATAAAATGAACAGGACTTCAGCTAAATGTAGATCTTAAAGAAAACAGAAAATAGCAGTCCTAACGATGTCAATATTCGGAAATTTAAGCAAACCACGACGGCGACGGCAACGAGAACGTGGAAAAACAATAGATCTAATTGGCAGAATAATAGCTCAGCACGTGCGTTTCAAACTTTGTACATTTATTAGCCGTCCTTTGCAAAACAACAACGTGAAATCACCAAAATTTGCGTCGTCTGCGAAGCGAAAGCACGGCGGCAAATTATTTTAATTTACATTTGGAACTCAACGCTACTTTTATGCGTTATATTGAGTTTGAGGTCTGGCTCCCTATGAGATGGTAAACACATGCAGCCATTTTCGAAATTCTAACTAAAAGTAGAAACTCATTTTTTAATCGATGTCTTCCGTGGCGTTGCCGTCCTGACGTCCTGACTGCTTAAAGTCCCTATTAATGAATTCGACGGTCACTCCTGGGGATCGAAAAAAGGGTTAAAGAAAGAAATTGAGAAACCGTTCTTAATCAGTGAAAGAGCTCTACCTCGTCTCTCTCTCGTAAAAGTGCACTTAAATCTTTACTTTCCCTGGTAGCTTGTTCCAGTTGACTCGCCAACGAGTGACGTTCCGCCGAGGATTTCTCTCGTTCGCGTTCGATCTCATTGCGCATGTCCACAATTAGCCTCTCATATTTCGCCTGTAAACACAAACATTCACGAGGACAATTAGAGCAAAATAATTCACTTCAGGTTGTAGACATTTGCTATTTTATATCACAGAATGTAAAAAAAAACCTTGTGCATGACAACCGATTCTTTATCTTATTGTTTCCATTCAGTTGATGACTCGTATCATGAAACTAGCTTTAAAAAATCTTGGTATGAAGGTGAATGACTGCCCGTAGAAGGTGATCGCTTCCTCAGAGACTTTTAGCATGAATTGCAATAGATCAGGGAACAAAAGTTACACTAAGTACCTGACTATCCAAGGAAGCATTGTGCTGTCTATGGAGTTGTGCAGACATCACTTTCACTTCCTCTTTAAGCTGATCTACTTCTTGTTTAGCAGAGCTGCTACTTTCTTGAGTGAACTCGTATCGCGTGCTTAACTCTGAGCATAAAACAAAAAAAGTGATGACATAACGATTTCAAAACAACTTTAAAAAGGAACAAGACCTTTCCACTGGATCACTAAGAAAGCTGTTAGATTTATTTCTGACCGATTTAATTAGGGAACCTGGTCCCCTGGAAAGCAGAAGCACATCTTAGGGGTGGGGGAGGGAGGGGGGACGTAGATCAGCAGTCCCTCCCTTCCAGCCAAGTCCGTCGCGTGAGTAAAAAAAAATCAGCAAAAGAAAAAACTCGATGTCCGCGCGCCGCACGGAAACTCTGAGTTTGAGACGCACGAACCCTGAGTTCTACGCAACGCGCTAACTGCAACTTTTTTTTTTTCGCTGATTTATTTTCATTCGCGCGGCGGCCTTCGCCGAAAAGGAGGGACTGCACGTAATTCACAGCTGAACTGACATTGTTAGACTTGCCTGGTTCTTCAATAATAACACTATCCAGTGAGAAGATAACCATTCATTGGACAAATCAACAGAGATAGACAAAAACATACGTCCAACTTGATTGCAATCTATCCGTTAAATAATCTAGATGGGCCAGGCTACATTTGTTTGAAGGGCGACCGACCAGCATACAAACATCCAGCGAATAAGTGTCCACAACAAAAACTACACCTTTTCCTGGATTGCGAATTATCCGTTAGATGGTGTCATGCACCCTTCGAATAACAAGATCATGGTGAATATTTAATGGCATCTCACCTAAAGTTCTGTTCTGTTCTTTTTGCAGCTGCTCTTCAAGCTCAGCACACTTCTCATCCATTTTCTCCAGCTGAAAAAAAAGAAAAAAGAAGAGGAAAGAAAAAGCTCAGTACGAATGAAATTGAAAAAGTATTTGTACCAGCAAATTGAAATGAAAAAGACATTGTCACCCAACTTTGCACAATAATTTGCTGGTGCCACAATCAGTTGAAAACACAGTACCACGCAAGCAAATCCAAAACCAAATTAGTAGGGGATTTGTTCCCTGGCTAGACGGTTTTTGACACTTTAATAAAGTTTCTACTACTACTACTTCTACTACTACAAAACAACTGGTGTTAGAATCCAAAACCAATGCAACTGGAAACAAAGAATGTGGCAGGGACAATGAAAAGTAGCAAGAACCCAAAGCGCATAGAGTTATCACCGCTATCTAGAAACCTCGCTACCTTAAACCCTCCAGCGACTCAAACTAACATCGACTTCCCTCACTTGAACCCAGATTACTGGAAACTCAATGACTCGATCACCACGTTAAATGGATCCTTCAAGTTACTACCATTCAATTTTACTTCTAGACATGATTGTCCAAAAGTGACGAGTCGACACAAGGTACAGACGTAACGAACAGATAGACATACTGTAGTCCAGTTGAAGCTTCGCTAGTTAAGGTACATTCAACTATAGTGCTACAGAGCTTCACCGCCTAACTTCCTCAAAAATTCCACTCTTACTTGCCAGCACGATACCACAGCTAACATTTGTGTGATGGGTACAGCACCGCTCAAACGTAAGTTGACAGTCCCGATAATCAATTCTAAAAAAACTTCGAGGATCCAGGCTCGAGTCGAGTTTCGAGACGCTCAAATCAGGAAAAAAAGAAGTGTCTCCGCTCGTTAAACTCAAACTTTTTCCAGTTTCCCTCACAGGCCAAAGCTATTAGGAGAGCGCTGCATACAGAAATTATTAAGAGCCATACTCTTGAAATCCTGAGAGATTTCTTAATAGGTCTGCATCAATAATTATCACTTATCCTCTATCTTCCTAAATATAACTCTAACTCACGGCAACCAATATCTTTCAAAATATTTTCAATATATCAACAAAGTTGAAATGGTAAATTGGCCACCGTTACGATTATAAAAGGTGACGTTTCGAGCGTTAGCCCTTCGTCGGAGCGAAAGACGAAGGGCTAACGCTCGAAAACGTCGAGCTTCTATAATCGTAACGGTGGCCAATTTACCATTTCAACTTTGTTAATATATTGAAATTATTTCGTTACCCCCACCGACGCAGCCCCAAACAGTTTCTTTAGAAACTATCAGCCTTTATTCTTACAAAATATGTCCAGCACCTTAACATTCAAATCACTAATCTGTCTTTCTTGTGTGGACACAACAGCATGAAGGGAAGTCTTTTCATTCTCCATTGATTGTAACTGTACAGTTAGCTCATCACTTTTCTTTGACTGAAACAAGAAAGCAGTATACAAATCAATTGATTTAATCCTGTCTTTCCTCATCCTACCTATCAGTAATGAACTGAAGTTAAATTGTGTACTTAAAGTGATCTATTAACATAAGGGACCTTTACAGGGAATAAAAGGTTCATTAAAATTTGCCTTACTCCAAACAAATTGCTATGTAGCTTAGTTGGGAGCAGTGTTCAACTGGGCACTGGTTCAATCCCTGTCAAAGGCCAAATTTTTAAGACAGTAACTTCTTTTTGTAATGTGACTTAAATTGCAGCCGTTCTGTGAAGGTAAATGATCTCAGTAGGTCAATACGGCACAACCTATTCCACTGGTCAAAACATCATGTATTTCATGTTCACTGCATGCCTTAAGACACTGCATGTTGGCTTAAAAGGTGACTTTAAAGCCTTTCAGCTATTGCTCACAACATGTCATTTTCAACCCTACCATTCTGACATTATACAGTCAAATCCAGGTTAGACAGAATGAAAGGCACCCCTTGACCTTTATATCGTACACCCATAATTATTAGACAACAGAGAGCCTTAAGATTGCTTTCAACTGGCAAAGGACAGTTTAAATAAAAAATGACTATCAACTAATCATAGAATAATTTCCCCCTCAAAAACATGCTTGAACGGGATTTGATCATAATGTGCTACTGAAGAACAAAGGGGTGTACCTGATTGTTAAAAAAAATCACATGTGGAAAAAAAAAAACAGAAGAAGTACAATGGGAAATCTACACAGAATGGATAAACAATCAGTGGTCTCTAAAAAAAAAATCATTATTTAAGACAGCAAAGAAAAGATCCTCCCAAGTGGACTGCAATTACAGAATTACAGGCTTTGATGGGATTCAAACTTATGCCTACTACCAACTGAACTACCCAGCCACATATTGGGAGCCAGGCAGAATTTAGAGGTTTCGTCTTTCCCTTAGAGGAATTTGATAACTACTTACAACATTTATTTCAGTACAAGTTAAAATCAGAATTTGTAATGATGAGCAAGTCACGTACCTTGTCTTTCTCTTTATTAATGTAAGAGGCAAGCTCTCTGGCTAAATTTTCCTTCTCTTTTTCCAGGGCTGCAGTCTGTTCCATGGTTTCTTTCTCTCTGCTCATACTAGCTGCCAGTGATGCTTCAAGATCCTGTTATTGTAACAGATGAAAAATGTCACATCATACATCACATCAGTAAATGTAACTTAAAGATGCCAGTGAAGGAAGTTGTTTTTAAGAAACAAATCTTGACTCTTTTAAGAGTCAGAAAACAATGTATTTATTCAAACAAATGGTTTCACTAACTACTTTGGAACCAAGTTCAAAAACAAAAATTGTATACACCGAATGCAAATATGGTGTCCAATTTGAATTGCCATTGTTCTGGACTGACTAGCCTCATCTTCCCGTGGAAATACAAAAGGATTCTTACATGTGTAAGAGGCTAGTCAGTCCAGAACGATGGCAACTCAAATTGGATGCCATATTTGCATTCAGTGTATAAGAAAGCTAAAATTCATTTAAAATTTCCTTAAGTTTTCCAACAAGAATGTACAACTTTCTCCCAGTAGCTTTTTTTTTCCACTGATGTGTTTCCACTTTCTTGTTTCACCAAGCTCAAACAGAACCTCAATAGCTGGCAGAGGTTTTCCTTCATGACCGTTATCTTCCCCCAACATTGTGCGATAAAAAAAAATCAAATCAGCACTAAATGCTCTTAAATAGCTCAGTAGGAGAGGATCAGTAGTAATGAAGTATTGAAATATCTTGTATGTATTGTTTCATTAATAATGTCTTCAATTAACTATTGTTGCATTGTGAGCCACTTTTCATAAAAAAAAAAAAAAACTAAACAAAGCTTAGTTAAACAAAAATCGAGATAAGCTTTCATGTTTGAGTACAGCTCTGTCATAAAAAATTTACAAAGGGATTGGGAATTAACATTAAATAATGCAATAAATAATACAAATTTCTTAGATGTCCTGTGACACAAATTGGTTTAAAACTATACTTTAAACTTGGCAAACTTAGATTCCAAACACTTATTTTGTGAATAGACTGCAGAGAAAAGTAACTGTTCTTTTGCATCACAGTCCATTCTTTGGGACTTCAACAAAACTTTGAAAAACTTGAAAGCCAATATCAAAATAAATTTGAAAAACAATTGTTTGATAAATGCTTCACTGAGCAGTATAATTTAGTGCACTGATTATGTGTGTTGCAAGGAGAAATGGTTACAGCCACAAAGTAATTACAAGTGATGTCTGGTACAACTTTGGCAACTATGTGGTCATATCAAAATGAACCTATACATTTCATGGTAAATTTTTGTATGCTTTGTTAATTACATACATATTGCCTAAAAGTGTTCTTGCACCTTTTAATTTGGTAATTAGTATTACACCACTGTTCCCTCATTTGAGTTAAAATTCACAGTTTAAAATTAATTTTGTTTACTACCTAACCAGAAGCTGAACAAATTTAGAAGCTTTTCCCCTTTCCATAGAACCATCTTAGCACTGAAATATGAGACAATGTAATTAAGTTAAAATTTCATCAGATTAACAAGCTATAAGTTGACATGTTGTGCATTAACCTTTCTCAAGTCAACAATCTGTTCACGCAGTAGTTCCTTCTCCTCTTCAGCACTCTTGCTGCGGCCAGACTCTGCCATTAACTTTTCTTGATAGCTCAATTCATTAGTCTTGTGGTCAGACATAATCTATAAGCCATAAAGCACATGGGTCAGGGGATGCTTAAAAATAACTGGAGTACAAAATTTAATCATTTATTGCTCAAAAGGAAATGATATTAGCTTAAGACTTGCCCAAGACAAATATCACAGAGAAATGATTCTATAGTATTGTTATTATTCAAAATTACACAAAATCCACTGTTTGACTACCCTGAAGCAGTGATATAAATTATCTCATTTCAGAGATAAATCTCTAGCTAGTTATCAGCATTTATCTAATGTTATTGTATAAACTTTCAAACTGGTATTGCTGGGAGGCAAATAGACTGTAGACTAAAGGGTTATGGAATTGGTCATTAACAAAGATGAATGTATTTTGTAAAGGTGTAAAGGTGTCAATACTAATATATTGATAGCAACAAGACCTAATTGAGAAAATGGTTGAAAGATATCTGCTCCATATTGTTTTTGTATGAATTTTACTAAATGAGAGAATGTACATTCTAACTACTGGCACATAAGCCAATGAGACGAAGAAAAAAATTAACACAGTTATTGGTACTAGCTTGGTAGGTTGTGGTAAAAATGATCTCTCTCCGCGACAGGCCAGAGGGATTGAAGCACATACATTTATGTAAGCTTGTGTAAAATTCATATGAAGCCCATGTACATGTAAAGTGGGTTATCATGAAGAATCAGTGTTAAGTGTTGACCTGCAGTGCACGTGCATGTAAAAATTTCTTTACCTATAATTACACCCTCTACTTTTTAAAATTGTTTGTCTTGGTTAAATAATTACTATGTAATGGTGCATGACAAGTGATGCATTTTTAATGTTCATTAATTAACCTATCTAGTCTGCAGCTGAGCAAAATGTGTCATAATTTGTACCATTCCTGTAAAGACTGTCACCATAATTTTACCTGAAAAATTGCTTTATTGTCACTCCTCTACTGACCTTGTTAAGTTTTTGTTTTGTTTCAGACAGTTCCTCTTTCAAACTGGTTGCTTCACTTGTGGTTCTTGCTAACTTTGCCTTAAGTGTGTTGAGCTTATGTATTTAAATAGAAGTATAAGAAATCAGTAATTCAGCAAACTGAGATATTTTAAGACTTGCTTTGTTAATTTGTGGCAAACAGGTTTGTTTTGTGAATCATGACAGACTGGCAGTTCAGGGTAGGACATCCAATCTAAAATATCACAGTTAATGATTTGCAGAGGAAAAAGAACTACATGCACATTTGCACATGCTGTCAGTATTTATGCAGTTATGAATGAGAAACTTGTTATCAGCTGCTGCATATGGCTTATCTAACAGTCCACCAGTTAGCTATCTAGTGAATCATTAATTATTTTATACATCAGCCCCATGAAGATAAACAAAAGGAAAAAGTGTGGGTTCTCACAAAAATCATTGCATGTGTTGACTACAGATTTTTTAAGTAAAAAAACTCAAAGCAATACATTTATAGTTTAACTTGCACAACTAATTTATTTGCAAGAAGTAGAAAGGTAACAAAATTAAGGCTATTCTCCAGGAAAATGCAAAACAAAAACCAAAGTAATCTCGAGATCTGGAACCAAATTCTCCCCACTAATTTACATCAAAATTCTCTGTATGCTAGTGCAGAGAAAGTTGAGTTGCATTAAAAAGACAGTTCCCTTTTTTTTTTCCAGTCATTAAAAAGATAAACATCATATGGCTGAACATATCTGCCTATCTTTTGATAAATTTGTTTTCATCATTACTAAACATTTATAATTCAGCTTTATAAGAAATTCTGTAGATTGCACATACCTCATCTTTAGATGATTTGTCTAAGGTTTCCATATCTTCTTCTTTCTCTGCAAGATTCCTCTCTGCCTCTCCAAGCTGCAAGGTTAGATTTTCAATCTGCTTTATCTGTCGTTCAATTGTGTCATCTGCTGTCTGTAGTCGTTCTTGAAGGCTGCTGTTTTCATCACTGAGTTGCTGTATTCTAATTTGTTGCCTAAATGAGAAAAGCAAAATGCTGTTAATCAATATGTAGATGTAGGATTGATACATATTAAAATTTCTCTTTTATAGGATGTCCCTGACCATTCAAAAGAAATATAAAATTGCACATTATAAATTTGTACATGTATCTTTCTTTCTACCAAATCAGAGAATGTTGAAACCAAATTATTAAAACATATAATTCAATTACTCTTAAATAAGAAATATTAGAAAACACTTTGGAAAGAAAATGTAATTTCATATACTTTTGACAAGTTTTCTAGCACCTATCACCACTTAGTCAAGAAAACACTCTATGAAGCAATGATTAATGTCACTTTAATTAATAGCGGCAAGACAAAAGGAAATAATATTGACTTACTATGGATATACAAAGTTAACGAAGTAGTGTTTAGTACATACTTTTGAGTTGAAGACTTGGCTTCAGTCATAACATTGTCCTGAAGAAAAGATGAATAGAATTTCTCCTCACAATATCAATACAATATCAAGCAGACAAGTAATGAGAATAAAGAAAATGATCACTTAGGGAAGTTCTAGTTGACCCAGTACCAAATTCTCCAAACCAACATCATAGAAATTGTATTATAGACTTTAAGGAGAATTTCTACTCAGATCTTGGAGGTGAAAGGATTAAAGCAATTCTTTTTAATTGAGTGTGGAGAGTAATCTGGGATTACATCAGGTCTGCTTTTCTGCGCGATTTTTGAGTGAAGTAAGAGTACCCTACATTACCTTCTCACTGGAGAGTTTTGCTTCTCGATCACGAATGGTTGTAAGATCTTTCTGTGCCACCTGTAGCCGCGTTTCTACAGTCTTTTTTTCCTCTTCACTTGTTTTGAGTTTTACCTGGAGTGTTATTTACATAAATTCAAATATTACACTTAAAATCAAAGCTTATAAAGAATTAAACAAATATGTAAATAATTTAAATGTCAGTAACAATGAGTTGACTTAATAGTTAAAGTGAATGTTTACCTCCAAGAAAACAAAAAGAGAAAGAATATCTCCTTGGTTCATAATTATGTAAAAATAGGAAATTCTCAAGATTTATTTTAGACCTAAACTAAGATTGTCATTTCAACTGGGAAAGAAAATGTTTAAATGCTACATAATTTACACTGCTATCGATAATGACATTTTGTACAAAATCCTCCCAATCATTCACTTGTCCAATGAATCAACACCTTAACTACTAGTGCATAGTCAAGAGGTTTAGAAGATTTTGACTAATTGGTTATTTCAAGGCTTGGGTAAGTTAGTGTTAGCTTTGAAAACAAGATTCTAATATCATTAAATGGAATTTAACACAGTTAATGATTAGGAGCTAATCTGGTTAGCAGCCATTTTGCAGGTGCGCTGTTAATGTATTTGCCTTCTGTTAGAATTTGTACAGCATTTCGCTGTGTTCTGTAGCATTTGCGGCAACCATATAGTTGTTGGAGGCCTGGGGCCATCCTTGTACAGTGGCACTCCTCATCAGTATGTGTATTTTTTTCCCATGTGACTGCACTGTGTTTACTGTTCAACAGTGTGGCATTGTTGTCCTTGAGGATAGCTTCTGGGCATTCCCTCCCTCCCATTCCCAACTCCTTGTTTCCTTGTTCATGGGTTTATATTTGGTAGCTATTTCTTCAGTTATTTATTTATCTGTTTATTAATTAATTTTTTTATTACATTGAGCCTTTGGGCTCCAGTGTGACAGGTGCTTGTGGGGGGTTTTGGTGCTAGGGGCTTGTGGCTGGGTTGCAGTTTGGGCAGACCAGTTGGATGTTCTAGCACCTTAGGTGCAACTGCAGTTGTAGCCCCTGGGCCCCTTGGGTACCTAATCTTCATTTGGGACTTGGGCATTAATTGAACACTAAACTTGAGACCACAAAATTGTGAAGGATATAATTTACAATGTGTTTAACTATTTTCACTCATTTTAAATCACATCTGAAAAACCTCTGTTTCTTGAAGTTTTTGCTTAGTCCCAGATAGTTCTGTTTTGAGTTTCTTGATTGAATCTTCTTGGGACTGTTTAGTCTTAATAATTTCTTCCTTTTCTTTATCAATTTCTTCTTCCAGTGCTCGTACCTGTGTATCAAACAAAGGTACCATTGAAGTCGCAAGTGGAACATGTCATACCCCATCAAATAGAACGAGTTTCTGCAAAATTGCCTTAAAACATCTTTACAAGGATTGCAACTAAATGGATGAATATTCAAAGGAAAGTGATAAGTGAATTTGGAGCATAATGGTGATTTTGCAAGGAAGAAGAACGTTATTGAAAATTATTAACATTCTTGGAACAGAAATTCACAAAATTTCAGAAGAATCATGGCATTATCGTATATTTGGAAGGACATGAATATTTCATGCTTGACATTTTGATTTGTAGTTTATGAGTGTAATACATATAGAAGTTGAGGAGCCATCTCATTTGTGGCAGATCCTGAGGAAGATAAAGGTTCTCTCAGAAGTTAGTAACAATTTAAAAGGGTGAAAGAAAAAAAATTACAATGTAAATGTACTACAATTAATTTAGATAGTTCATTGTTTAAAATTAGGGCACACAAAATACTTTAACTTTACCATAATTATATCCATCATGTAAACAAAAAAGAGTCAATTTAAAATATAAACTCTTTGACAGGGTTTTCTAAAAGTACTAATTTTTTTAACTTTTTACTTACTGTGGCCTGTAGAGATGTTTTCTCCAGTTCAATGGATTTCATTTTCCCTTTCAACTCTTCAACTTCAGCCATTACTCTATCAGCCTTACCCACATGAGCAGTTGTTTTTTCTTTCTCTTGTTCTCTCTCCTCCAGCAATTTCAATTTTTCTCCTGAATGCAGTTTGAACAACACAAACTCACTAAATTAATATTACAGTAATAGCTGTTTTGAATGAATAAACAGATAAGTAGATAAGAAAAATGCAATAAAAACAAATTTACCAACAGTAGTTAAAAATAAAATTAACTACCGGTAAAAGCAAAAATTACCTGCAACATATACACACAATCACATGTTAATAAATTATCAAAGCTGTCAGAGTTTAATCCTGGTTACACAGGAGGAAGGGGTGATCTCAATGTGGTAAATGTTTGTACAAAAAGAAAAGAAATTCAGATTCTGCTGTAGTGAGAATTAATTAAAAATGAACTTGCTTTTAAATTTGCATTGTGTTTTTTTGAGAACAAACCTTGATGCTTGTTAATCAGGTCTCTCATGTCCTCATCACACTGTTTTTTAGTTTTATCCAGCTGAGCTCTCAAGCTGTCATTCTCGTCAGTAAATTTCTTTACCTCTTGTTCATGAATCTTCCTTTCTTCCTGTTTCACTTGCTTCATCATTTCACGCATTCTATTCATCTCTTCTTCCATGTCTCTCCTCTCTTCCTCCATAATTTTCATCAGCCGCTTATCTGACTGTTCTGAGTTTGAATTCTTCTTGAGTGCTTCATTATCAAGTTCCAGCCTTTTAACTTTCTCTGACAATGAAGCCCTTTCCTTAATCAAATAATTCACCTGTTCCTTGACAGGACTGGTGTCTCTTCCAATCTGCGTCAAGCCAGACTCCGTTAACAAGTCACATATGTCCTCTGAGACATAAGCTCCCGCCTCCTTTTCAACTTTCATTTGTTCAAGCTCTGCCTTCAGCTGCTCGTTTTCAGTCTCGAGCTCTTGAGTTAATGCTTCTCTTTCATCTGACAGCTGTCTTATGTGTGCAACATAGTTCTCCACCTCAATCATTTCTTCTCCATGCTGTTTACGAAGCTGCTCAACACTCTCTAGAGAGGATTTGAGACTGGTTTCAGATCGCACAAACTGTCTCCAAAAATACCGAAGTTTGTGCTCAATTGGAAGGTTGGTTCTGTAGCCATCTTTCTCAAGCCTGTCATCAATGTCTCCAAGTTCCCCTGCATCCTGAGTAATACAAAGAGTGATTAGCATCTACCTTTTCTTTACATATCACTCTTGAAACACACATCAAGGCCAGGAGAATAAAGGAAATGATCATTGAGAAAGAAAATCTTGATTTTTAACCAAATTGTTCTTGTCATCACCTTACAAAATCTCTAGAGGACAGTATGGAGAAAGTGCCTACTGATGTTAGTGTATAAAGGGACATGAACCCAGTATTCCAAAAAGTTTGCACCCAACCTTCCAGCGAATTCTGAACATGGAACTGATTCACACATCTATACCTGGTAAGTTTAATATTCAAATTGACTAACACCTGGAAAATAGCCACTGTACACATCTCATCAGTGTTTCAAAACTTGCAAAATTTTTTTATCAACATTTTTGGTAAGTTGTAAATTGAGGTGACAACAGTGGCTAAAAATGCCCTGATCATTAGAATTTTTGGCCAGTTACTAGCTCCCATTCACAGCTCTGTATTAGAAGGAATTAAAAATAGACTTAAAACTGAGTGGAAGAACATAAAAATTAACCATAGTAACAAAATCATAAAAAACGTTTTGGCAAAGGCTAATATTACATGTACATTTGGGAAGCATTAAGTCTGTGTTTTCAAAGAGTTACATTAAGTGTTATGGAATACTTCTAGCCATTGTATGCATTACTGACCATCAAGCTTAAGGTCAAGGCGGCTGGATATTGCAAGAATTTTTTTTTTTTTGCAATTCTATAGACCATGACAAGGTCAAGGGCCATAAAACCCAAAAAGAAAAGAACAAGGCTAATATCCACCCTTCTAGACCAATAAAGCTTAGTCAATAAGGCTTAGTCAATATAAGTCATATTTTATAGGAAAAAGATTTTGCTTTTAATTATTATGAGTCAAGAATAACTTGTTTATTTGGAGAGCCGGAAAGAAAGCCAACTGTCTTCAGCACAATAAACCCACTTGGATTATGTTTTTTTTTTTGGTTTACTGTCTTCTGCTGCTTTTTGCTTCTTCATCACTGATATTTTCCAAAATTAATGTGTGAAATTTGTCCAATACTGTCTTTTATTACATTGCTCGTAGCACCCGTAGGCAAGATGAAACAAATCCTGTGTTCTGATTGGCTACCCAAGCAGGCTTGCCCACTCAGGATTGCTTGCATTGATCCCAAGCATGAAAAAAATGGAATTAGGACTACACTCGTACTTCTTGGACAATTTCAGCCATGGAAATGCAAAAAGTGGCAGAGGATAGTCAAAACAAAGAAATCAAAAACAACTCTCCTGAGTTTGTTGTACTACAAACACAGTTAATAATAATAATAATAATAATAATAATAATAATAATAATAATAATTAGACAGGGTGCGTTCTCACAAAAAGTGGTTTTCAGAACGGCCCTGTACAGTTGGCTTTCTTTCCCAGCTCTTGAAGTAAAGAAGTCATTATTTATTCTTGATAAAGTGAAAATCTTTTTGCAATAATAATAAATCCTTTAATAACCAAGCTTGTTCCGTCAATATGACTGTATATTTGCCTCGTTCTTTTTCTTTTATGGACCTCGACTCCATCACGGTCCATAAAAATGCAAAAAGAGAACTCGACCAACATCCAGTCATCTTGACCTCAAGCTTGGTTAATAACGCATATCTACTGAATCCCCCTTTTTCATCTATTATCCTATTACTGAAATCCCCAGTTCCCTTTCGTTGAGCATCAGTCAATGAAAATAACAACAGGTATTGTTTCAAGGAAGACCTGACCTGAGGGCCATTGACTACAGTGGGAGTTTGTTTATATTTTGATATAGAACAGCTTGAAACTTGTATCATATTGTAGTTAATTATAGTTTTGTTCGATTTCTTTAATTACACATTCGATGACGAACTCAGGAAATAAAAATACTGAAATACAGGATATCCACAAAGATATGTTGATAAAAAAAATCTCAACAACTTAAATTCGGTTCTGATAAATCTATATTCCATCTCCAAGGAAAAGCGAAAAAAAAGTTTGATTAACCCTCCATAAATTGTAACTGCATGATATGTTTGGCATTTCCCTTAAATAATTTAGTAATCACAATGCCTGGGTGCGAAATTTAACAGTGTTTCACATCAGCTGCGTTTGTGAGTTGTAAAGTACGTTGTAAACCAAAGTTAAAGAAAACTGAAATGAACAAGAAGAAGAATGTCAATAAGATTAAGTAGTGAAGTTCATAAACGAAGTAAACTGATCAACTCACCGACTCCAATATTATGAGGCTTGACATATCGAGTGCCCTGTCTTAGCGTCGACTGTGTACCCACATTCACATCATAAGCACCGCGGTTGAAAGACTTTTCGATGTACCCAACCAAAGAAGACTTTTCTTTTAAATGCACTTTTAAAGTTGGCAGCGAAAAACTGCAGTTTATGTCAACAAAAGGACAACCAACCTCTGACTGCAAAGTTCAGGACGCGGAACCGTCGTCATGAGACTGGGCAGGAATGATCTTGTTATCCCGTCATGCATTACGTCGAAGTAGAAAGAACGAATTCTTTCCGTATCTCAGGTGCCAGTTTCTCGAAACTCCCAACTTAACGGGCCCGTAAAGCTGTTTTGTATTCATTCAAGATGGGGATTCAAAAGTTTTGAAAATGATAACAAAACTATCAGCTAAAGAGAGAAAAAAGACTGGTTAGGGTGTCAGAACCTGCTTTCCTATCCTTTAAATTTTGATTTTAAAAAACATGGCTTCGGGCCCGTTAAGTTGCCGGGACTTTCGAGAAACGGGCCCCGGGCCCAGGTTTTACATCAACGTAGCGTTTTGATCACTCGAAACGCAGCTTAATGAGAAGTTATTTGAAGACATTTGTACTCCTTGAGGACTAAACGATTTGACCGTAATCAAAACCGAGGTTGCCCACACCAGTAGAAATGGGAGCAAATCACTGGAATTTTCTTGGCGATTCAATAAGCCCACCCTCAGCGTCTGCCTGTCATCTTTTCAGATGTTGCCAGTTCCTGTCTGTAATTAATAGGAGCTCGCACATTGAGCGTGCACTTTTGTGACGACGCTCTCGTTTCAAGATTTGTACTGAAATGCACGCGGAAGAAATTCGGGCAACTTGTGGTGAACGCTCCAGGATGCACTTCTGAGGGCGACAGTGTGTAAGACATTAGGTATTCATCGCCATATTTTGGTAACAGGGAACTACTTAATTGCAAGCTGTTTGCTTGTAGAGTGGGGCTGTGATGCCAAAATGGTGTTAAGGTAAATGGAATGGTATGTACAGCTCCCAGATAAAAAAAATTAATTCCATTAAGTTGACAATAAGATGAGTTTCGTAACAGTATCGATATTTTAATAAATAAATAAGATCACTACAAAACTCCACCGAAATTGTCACAAAATCAAACTTTGAATGTGCTGCCCTAAATTTCCTATATCTTAAGATGTTAATTCATAGAAGGCCCAAAAAGATTAACTTGTCCCCTCCAGTACTAGTTAAATTCAAATCTCTTGAAAATACTTCGTAATAGCAAATTCTAACTGCCAGAGTACTGAAAATAGTCCAGTGTACATAAATACCTTCGAAAAATGTACTGAGTAACTACAATTTCGAACCAAATGCCTAACTTGATAAAATACAGTGCGTCGATGTTTCTAATGAGAAAATTTAAGCTTGAATGTAACTATGCATACTGATATATAAAGCTAGCGTCTTAAAATTCTGGCGACTCGGAAAGCATAGGTCCATCGGCGTTTGACAAAGTTATCGTCTCCTCTGGCAAACTTGTAGCGCTGCTGTTTGAAACCTTTAGTTCCTTCCGTATATTTGTGATGTCATCGTCAATTTCTTCTATTTCGTCTTGAAGGTCTTCTGATGATAAAAAAAGAAAACGAAAAAAAAGGAAAACAAAACAATTATGAAAGTAAATTTAAGTTCAAAAATTCTAAACGTATTACAAAGGAATCAGGCTGAACTGTTCCTGATCATTTGGGTATACATCAAAATAGGATAATCAGATGAGCTTGATAAAGCAGGATTGCCATAATTTTAGCCAATTAATAGTGATATATCTTAAAATCAATCTGATGAGACAAAGGTGTAAGCCCCTACCTGACAACATGTTGCTGGCTGGTCCATGTCTCTCGTCATCTTTCTTTTCCCTTTTTGACGTCTGATTCACCAAGCTAGAATCTTTACACTGAGCCTTTCTCTTCAGTTCCCGTTCTTTCTTGGGTTCAACATCCTTCTTGGCAGTTACGGAATGTGCCACGCTTTTACCTGATATTTTCCCTACTCCACAACCTTTGTGGTTGCTTTCAGGCAGTGAAAATGCAGGACTAACAAAGTGGGGCTTTAAAAGCTTGGGCATCTTTGGAATTTTGCTACTTTTTCCCCCATTGGACGCCATGGGAGGTTTAAAAGCAGTCTTCATCAACTTAGGAAGGCATTTCTTTCGAAGTGAACCATCTTCATCAACAGCTACTCTAACATCTGTGTTTGATTTCTTATATAAGAACTCAGGTTTTTTAGGGAGTTTTGGATTCTGGCTAGACTCCAAATTGTGATCTGGAACCTCTGAACTAGAACGCGGTTCTTCTTTGTTAATGCTTATCGACTGGTTACTTTCTCGCTCATAGGTACTTTGTTTACTTGTTGTACTTAGCTGATCCCTCCCACAAGTCAGATCTTTTCTTTTACGCGACTTTTCGTCACTAACTTGTAATTTTGACCAGGGGCTCTCAGCCATCTGGCTTGAAGTTTCCTTATTAGTTGGGTTTCCTTTCCCTGAGAAATCTCTGGAACTGATGTTAGATTTTCGCTTCTTCTTACTTTTGTCTCCTGGAACTAAAGGCAGAAGAGTTTCTCCAGGCGTTGAAACACTTGACCCCCTCGCTACATCTTCCCTCCCACAGGGAGAAATATCAACTGAAATCATTTTATCCATCTCGTCACTTTGATCTGGCTGTTTATCTTGTTCAGACAAATTATTTTCCTCGTCTCTCGATCTTGATAACACTGATTTTGCAGAAACGCCAGGGTTTGTATTATCCTTCACCTGTCCTTGCTCAGATTCTTTGGAGCATTTGTTGACAATATCTTCTTTGATATTCTTATATTTATTTTGTTTCTTTCCTCCTTGTATTTCGTCTGCGATTTCCCTCTTTTTATTGACTTTCGTGGCTTTGTTTTTTTTAGTCGCAGTTGGAATTCCTGCAGTTTCTCTACATGGTTTTATGATAGCTTTACTTGCGCTGTTCTCTCGCTCATGGAGCGTTTCATCCAAATTGCTGTCGGTGTTCGAGACACAAAAGACTGTTGGTTGAAGTTTCTCGATAGCCATGGTATCTTCCATGAGGCTGTTTCTTGATTCTTCGTTAAGTCCACATATCTCAGAACTTTCACTTGTGGCGACATTAATCACGGATAAATCTCCTGCGGATAAAGTTCACTTGGTCAGACAGTGATACGGAATTATCAATTAACCATTTATCCTCCTCGTTCTGTAGTAAGACCATGAAAGAAAGATATGTAGAAAAAAAGTTTTGGGGATGAAAGCGATTATAACCTTACCATCCCTGGTGAACACAAAATTATGTCCTCGAGACCATAAACCAGGAGAATACTTTCAGTGGATACCTCTTTATGAGACAAACATTAAGTTCTTCATTTAAACAACAGAATTAAAACATTTTTCTCTTTAAAGACGCAGTCAAAGCCTTATCCTGCCAAACAACTCGTTCGTAGGAAATCACCTCAGTGCCTAACATGGGTGTAATGCAAATATCGATAAGGTATCCGTAATCTTTACATAGTACTCAAGTTCAAAACATACCACTTCGCTAAAATTCAGCAAACATACCGTTAAGAGACACTGATTTAAGTACACAAAGAAATAAAGTGGAACCTTATGGTTATCGAGAATTTCCTCACAGGCTGCAAATATTAAACTGTTACTACTGTAAAATGCCCTCAGTTTTCTTTCGATTTTATTAACTAAAGAGTGAAGAAGTATGTTGACCATTAAAACGTGGCAAAAATACTCTGACTAAAACCAACAGAAAGTGAGTTCAACTGACCTTCAAAGGGGCTGATTTTCCTTGAGCCTTTCGAGACAAGAAATGCTTGAGTTCTTTGCTCCTTTTTCTTCCTGTGTTTTTTCTTTGGGCTACAAGAATCTCTTACTTTAGTGGAGGTCTTGCTTTCCGCTTGCTTTTTTGCAGCCTTCTTTGTTGAAGTTTTAGATTTTGGCGGGCTTTCTTGATCGTTTTCTCCGGGACTGCTAAAAGACCCGTAGCTATGCCCACTGCTGCACTGATTTTCCTGACTGGATGAGCCTGTAACTATAAAAACATAGCGGACTATCATCAGAATTTCCATTCAGCTAGTTAAAATAATGACGCAACCGAAACTTTTCATTACTTGAGTACTAGCTTAGATTGTTGGATGTCAGGATTCTTGCAGGCTTGTCCAGTTCCACATCAGCGACTCTGTCAGAAGCTCTGATTCCTTCATCGCAATACTCTATTTTGATTATCCCAGTGATAATTCCCCCGGTAACTTTTGTGTTCTGTGGACGCTGATACAGCAATGGAGTAAGTCCCTTTTAGACAATGAAGCTTTAAATTATCTCACCTGAATCATCCAAATCGCCATTATCTGGACTCACTGAACGCGCCTTCTCTTTCTTGTCTCCAATAGTGCCTTTGTAGCGCACCATAAAACCATATTTGGACAATCGACTCTGCAGTTGGAAAGTTTTAAAAGTTTCTTATTGTCAACCGCTTTCCCACAGTAATGAAACAGTTACAAGTTGTTGTAATCAAACAACAACAAACATATGAAACATATGTGTGAACTGCGGTTATGAGACGTATATGAGAGCACGATCCTTCGCAGTAAAGCACTATTTGAGCAATAGTGAAAATCAGACCTGAAAAAAATTTCAGGCCTGTACGGGATTCGAACCACTGACCTCTGCGATACTAGTGCAGCGCTCTACCAATTGAGCTAACAAGCCAACTGGGAGCAGGCCATCAAATTAATTCGACATAAACCCGTAGATGATAAATCAAACAACAACAAACATATGAAACATATGTGTGAACTGCGGTTATGAGACGTATATGAGAGCACGATCCTTCGCAGTAAAGCACTATTTGAGCAATAGTGAAAATCAGATTTATAAACCCGTAGATTTATCATCTACGGGTTTATGTCGAATTAATTTGATGGCCTGCTCCCAGTTGGCTTGTTAGCTCAATTGGTAGAGCGCTGCACTAGTATCGCAGAGGTCAGTGGTTCGAATCCCGTACAGGCCTGAAATTTTTTTCAGGTCTGATTTTCACTATTGCTCAAATAGTGCTTTACTGCGAAGGATCGTGCTCTCATATACGTCTCATAACCGCAGTTCACACATATGTTTCATATGTTTGTTGTTGTTTGATTTATCATCTACGGGTTTATGTCGAATTAATTTGATGGCCTGCTCCCAGTTGGCTTGTTAGCTCAATTGGTAGAGCGCTGCACTAGTATCGCAGAGGTCAGTGGTTCGAATCCCGTACAGGCCTGAAATTTTTTTCAGGTCTGATTTTCACTATTGCTCAAATAGTGCTTTACTGCGAAGGATCGTGCTCTCATATACGTTGTTGTAATCAGTCTGAAAGATTAGACGGCTTGAAGAAGAATTAGAATCCAAGTAATAAAGAAGGTACCTGTAGAGGCATTTTTGCAGCTCTCCGTGCTTCCAGAGTGGCTGCTGTAAGTTGTCTTCTGTAGTTCTTTCCTCTAACGCTCACCTGAAGAAAAAAGGAGGTCAAGAAGTTCTATACCACCATAAGACAATTGCGAAAGATCAACACAAACATGAAAGAAATGCATCTTAACATCGCAGGAAAGAAACATTAAGACCCAAACTTAGATAGGGTGTGACATGAAAGATATGACAAGATCTCGCTCAAGACTTCTCGTTCCTATTAACTTTAGTTAATCAATTATAAATAATATAACATAAACACCAGTCAAGTACCAGGCGAGCTTTCGGGCAAAAACGTGATATCTCCACGCCTAAAAATAACACCATTACTTTTCTTACATAAGAAATCGTGCCTTTCACAGCAAAAGTGAAACAGTTTTGTTTTTCATTGGTGGTTGTATAATAAACTGAGAATATTACATGGCCGCGCAAAGACACGAAATTTCTCTTATTTATGAACACTCGAAGAGAAATTTCGTATCTCCGCACGGCCTGTAATATCCTCTATATCTGTTCATCCACCTAATGCCAATGAGGTTAAAAACTCCTCTTTAGGAATACACCCAGCAAGGCCGAGTTGGAATCTGGTGTGCTAGATTTTGCAAAGAAAGGAAACCGAAATGCCCACTCGAAAACCCTTGGAGCAAGGGGGGCCTACTATGTAAACAACCCACTTGCGTGTAACACCGGTACCAAGTCCGACAATTAATAAAACCCGGGCCACTCCAAACGCCACTGGCATCCTCTACAGATGAATATCATAGTGAGGAGTTACCGAACAAACCTTTCCCAAATCCTCAGGGTCATCATCACAAGAAAAGTTACGAATACAAGCAGCGTTCACCCATGACCTCGACACTTGTTTGTCAAAGAACACCACATGGAACGACACCTGAAATTTATAGATCGTCAGATGCTTTTTATTTCTGTTGAAAACAGTCGTCTTGTTAAGGGGAAAACAGTATGCTCTTAATTTTCATTTTGATTACCGGAGTGAAATTATCTTCTTCGGTTTCACAATAGTAACCGTAATCTGGATCGTTCTCCATCATTGCTGGCCACCTTTTGATGAACAAAGAAATGAAGATAGTTAGTGCGGGTCACTGGTGTAAAAAAGAAAAGGAAGGAAAACGGAAAGAAAGAAAAAAATATCGAAGGTCATCGAACCAACCCTGAAGTTTATCAGAACACGTACCTGATCCCAGTTAAATTAATTCTGAAATGAGCTGTATCTATTTCTTTATTTTCAAAAAGTGTTGCGTTGTTAGCCCAGGACACTGTTTCAGCTGGAAATAAACCTTGATTTACGGAAGTTGTCATGTGCTAATATTTCCCTAAAAAGGCTTTGTCAGTCGATTCTTTTAAGGACGTTGAATCAGACGTTTTGAGAATTGTATCCGCTTTTGAATAGAATTTAATAATAACAGATTATATGTCACAGCAACTGGCCGGATTAAAAATGAATGGAACTAAAATAAATTGAGTAAGTACTATTGCTTCAAGGATTTCAAAAACTAATCTTACCATGGGTAGCCAGTCATCTTAGCCCAAACAATAGCCCCATTTGGATAAGGTGTATAAATCACGTGCAAATTTCCCTCTTGACTATCAAACGTTTCTTGTGAAATACTACATGAATTGTAGCAATCATCTGCAAAGACATCATTCTGAATGAGTACGTTTATGTGACAGGTGAGTAGCTTTGGAAACAACATCATGGGAATGGCTATAGTTGAAGATATATAGTCATGAATTATCGTCTTACTTTCGTTCAAAGAACACACCCATCTTTCTGGTAACTCCTGAGGATCTATGTCAGTTTGAAGAAATCTCCATTTACCACAACTAGGAATGCTACACTGTGCCCAGGTACCCTGTTTTTCAGTCTCTTGAGATGTAACTTGCTTCTCACAATTCTATGAAAAAAGTAACTAGAGGCATAAAAGCAATTGACACTGCTAGGAGTACAAAAAAAAAACTTACAAAATATTGACTTACCATTCCTGATGCATCTGGAACATCATTACCATCCTGTGCTTTTCTAACCTTTTTAGGTTTTGCCAATTTTCTCTTTCGTCTGACGACATTTGCAATGCTTTGGCTGTCTGAATTTGATGCTTGGGAATTATGCTAAAATTGAGGCAACACAGTAAAAAAGCGTTAAAAATGACCAACAAAGTATCTCTTTCCTCCAAATTTCATACCCTAAACCCCCTTTGTTTTAAGTTGAATCTTAGCAAATAATTGGAGGTTACTAATGAGGAGATTGTCATAAAAATATAGACAGTGATTTTAATAAAAGTTTGTAACCAATGAGTTTAGTTCAGATAGTTTTGAGTTTTGAGTCTCTTGTTCCCAGGGAGATTTGAGCCCTATGGTAAATTTTTGAAGCTCTTGACTCTTGTAGTTGCATTCTCATGAAATTTTGGGGTCTAAGCAAACTTAGGTCAGCTTTTCATGTTCTTCTAAGCCTGAAAAAGAGGTCGACAGAAAAGAAAACACAGGGGGAAAGATTGCAAATTGGCAACAGATCCATAAGCAAAGTGAGATTTATCTTGCTTTCTTCTGTAAATTTTTTTGAAAATTGGCTCAATTATCCTAACCATATACAGTTCTTATCAAATAGCCTATTTCTGTTTAAATCTGTCAGAGTTAATGGAATATATTTAGAAAAATGACAAATCAGAGAAATTGGCAAAACTGTCTCATGAAGCTTGATTGTTTATAACCATTTCAAAAGGTCAGGCAAAATCATTTCCATAATGTATCAGAGAATGAGGACATTTCACCAAGGGAAAGTAGAGATATTAAAGTGCACCTAAACCCAAAAATTTTTTTTCGCTTAACAAAATAAGCGTATTTTTTGGAGTATTTCTGTGCAAACATTTTTTTATTTGCTCAAATCTTCAATTGTCTGTGCCCAGTCAAAATACAGAAAATTGGCCACCATCTTGCCCCACGGCTGAGTTTAAAGAGGAATGGCTCTAGCGGGTAATGTGACGTCAAATCGAGAACACGAAAGTCTGCATTTCACACATTTTCGCTTGTTTAGGAAGGTTGTAGTCGATTATGTCCGAAAATATGCCGACTAAGTGTGTTATAGGAGGATGTAGCAACGTGCGAAATTTGCAAGAGGGTATCACGCTTCATACATTCCCCATACAATACACCTGGTCGGCATATTTTGGACAATATCGACCACAACCTTCCCAAACAAGTGAAAATGTGTGAAAAGCAGACTTTCGTGTTCTCGATTTGACGTCACATTATCCGCTAGAGCCATTCCTCTTTAAACTCGGTTGTGGGGCAAGATGGCAGCCGATTTTCCGTATTTTGACTAGGCACAGAAAATTTAAGATTTAAGCAAATTAAAAAATCTTTGCACAGAAATACTCCAAAAAATAAGCTTATTTCGTTAAGCGAAAAAAAAATTTTGGGTTTAGGTGCACTTTAAGGTATAGAGGCCAAATATTGAAATATATCTGCCTGTTTTTAGAGATGAACTTGCCATGGTAATGTTATGAGTCTAAAAATTTACGAAAAAAACAGAACCCTTAGCCCTACTGGTAAATCTCTTGGGGGAAAACTTTGAGATATATTAACTAGATTTCTTTCATAACATGCCCTCTGAAGGGCAGTTTATTTGCAAATACTCTAGGGAGTCATCTTAACATTTCTTTAAAATTTAGCCTAGAATTTGAGATCCAATGGCTTAAGTGAGGATGAGAAATGTACCTGTTGACTTGTGCTCTCTTGAGAAAGATTGTCATCACAAGTAGTTGGAACACACTGAACATTCTCTTCACTGTTATCTTGATCCATAGAAACTATACACAAACAAAACAAATGTTATATGTTTGCTGTAACTGGATGAGTATACTTTAATTGGAGAATTTCATGCAAGTGCATTTTCAGCCACTTATGTTACTCTGGTAAATTGCAAATAGCACCTACTTGGTCTAGCTCTAAAGAAAATAGGGAAAAGCAATAGCTTCTTTTCCAACTTCCAATTTATATTTCAAAAAGGACAAGAATAGATGTTCAATTTAGCATGACCTGTGGAGTCACAACTGAATTCCAGATGACAATTTCTAGCTACAGCAGCCAGGAACAAAAGGATGATATGGAAAAAAAAAGTTAACCTTCTCTCTTGACAAGTTGTTCTGTATCACCTTCTTGCATTTTTAATGAGTCTGACAGTTCAGGATAAAGGTCTGGAACAGGATCACAGTATTCAATCTCCCAAGCTGGTTCTGATACAGTGATAACTGAGGATTTGGGGCAGGTAACCTCTAAGGAATTGCTTTCCTGTGCAAAGTGTGTCAAAACAGTACAAGCCAACACATAAGCCTTCTCCCTTCTTTTTCTCTTTGGCAAAGTTTATTACAATAAATTCATTTAACTCCAGCTTTCTTTATAAAGATGATATTTTGGTAGAATTAGGTAATGTTGATGAAAATATAAACATAAAGGTTAGAATACGCTAATTGTCTGGAAACATCATAACTGATCCCAATCAGGGCAGAAGACTAAATGTTTATGCGTAAAATTTCTAAAAGACAACTAAAATTGGAAATTAAGAATTTATTACAAGAAATTAAATGATTTTGAGTAAAAAAGACTTGCACTTAGACTTTTTAAGTCATAGAAAGATGTACACTTTCTTATTTATTACAAACTGCAATTGAAATTATTCGATACCCTACAAATGTTTCTTTGTGTTAACTTTCAGAACTATCTATCTATAGGGGAGAGAGATGCATGCCTTTTTGAACTGACAAGTTACCATTGAGGAGCTGCCAAAACTCCTTGTGTAAACTAACCTTACTCAATTTTCTATTCTTCAGGCAAGTATTGGATTTAGAGGTCTCCACTCTTGGTTCAGGAATATTCTTTGTTTGGTTTCCTGTTAGAAAATATTTATAGGTCAAAAAACTTGTGCACGCTCTAAGCTTGTCATTTTGCATATTTCGAGTTTCAGTGAAAAGTGATTAACTTTTTATCAGACTTAACATTTAGTGTATTTAGAGCAATAGCATTTACGATCTTTAAGGTTTGTTCACTAATTCATAAGTGTTGTAAAATGTTACTTACAGATATTATAGGGAACGACAAACAAAACTGAACAACAGCAATGCAAAGCTGCAAAAATTCATGTAAATCTTGCAGTTTTCCGTTGTGGGAGTGTACATTACCCGAACTCAAACCAGGGCTACCTACCAAAGGGGTTATAAAAACAGTTTATTGCAAGCCTCTTACCTTTAGGACGCTTTTTAGATGTGGCCGTCTCGCAAAGTGATTGAGAAATAGTCGCCATTTCTCAGTCTTTGTCATGGTCTTTCCCGCCGAATCTGTTTGGCAGCCGCGCCAGTCTAAGGTCACGTGCTTCAAGGGGATTGAGGCATTTTAAGGCCTTCCACATCTTCCACATCCATGCTCAAAGGTTGGTCATGAATGATCATTTCGTCACAGTCCAGAAATAGCACGCGCAGTTAAATAAAGTATTTCATCCGCGCGCTGGTAGTTCAATTGTTTTAGCTCAACAGTCTAACATCAGAATGCATATTCTCAATGCTGTTCCCATACATTTCCTAAGATGCTGACAAGAGAATTTGTTTAACAATCGAGAGCTTCTGTAGTTGGCAATCAGTTCCTTACTCTCGTGAACTTTGATACTTGATTCAGGATTGATATTGTAAGGAGAAATTAGATGCTAGTCACTCTTAGGGGCAAAGGGTTAACTAAACAGTTCATCCTTTACAACAAACAAGCAGAAAGATATTCTAAATAATTCAGCTCAAGATAACACAAGGCTTTCCTTTAACGTTGACTTTATTCACTTCAATTTTACAAGCGATCAGTTGAGGCCTACGCAAATGCGGAAGACATGTTTTAGGAGTGTTGGATGCTCAATCTCCTTGCAACTTCTGATAAGACTCCCGGATTGGAATTGTCGTTTGTGTGAAACAATTCTCATGGATTAAAATATGCTTATATTGCTTGCTTTTCAATCGATTTAAATTGGAAGAGGGGGCGGGGGGGAGAGGAGACAAAATCATGCACCCAGGATTTTCATTAAATGTCGTATCGCGTGTCTAAAATTATCCTTGGATTGTTTCAGGCTCTGGGTCAGTAGAGACGAGAGCAAGAGTGAGCGAGCGAGCGACAAACGGTAGTTGTCAGTTTCATGCTTGTTCCAAGCGTTTAACAAAAACGAAGCGAAATAGTTAACGGCGCGATACGGTACTAGCGGACGAGCAAAAACGAAGGAGGTTTGGGTCGGGTTGGTTAATGAACTACGCGACTCAAACCTCCGCGGGTGTTGCTTTTCCACTTCTTCGCTACTATCGCGCCGTTTGGTATCACGTTACGTTTCACTTGTGAACGCCTGGAACAGGCTATGGTTGCCAGAGAAACGCAGTTTTCCTTGCCCGACCCCGCCGTTCATTCGATCGCCCGCTCTTTAAGTCACTGAGCGAGAGCAGAGAAGTCAACAGACGAAGTTCCAAGCAATACACAGTCGGGGTAACAATCTGCGCACAGCAACCTTTCCCTACAACATATCCTCTCGAGTACCTTGGCCTTAACACTTAAGATTTAGCAAGTTTTGTTACTTCTACGCTGTAAGAAATGCTATTCCCTTATTCAGTAGTCGTCTGGCGAGAGCATAGCCCGTGAACGCTTACGTGTTTCCGGTTGTCGCCATTCTCCACCAGGAGGAGGATGAACAAGCGACAAATGGAAACAGGTCTGCGTTCATAGGCCAGAGAAAGATCTTGAACTAGGCAAAGTGCTAAAAATGAAAATTTACAGAGCAGACTTCTACACTAAGATACAGTTCAAGCAGTGAAAATAGTAATCACACGGAAAAATTACAATGCCGACGAAATGTCTCTCTAGCTACAGCTACAAAAGTAAATCCGTTTCACTGATAACCAAGGTAACAAACAACACGATACAGTTTCTCTCCACCAAAGAATTTAAAAGATTTTAGATGAAAATACCGTCACCACAATTTTTGTAAGGGGAGTTCCCCTAGTCCCGACGCCCCCAGGAATGTCCCAAGGGGTAATAGGGGCGAAGAGAAGGCTGACATTTCAAACTAACATTCCTATTTTCCTATCTAAACTCCTATAAAGAAAATTGAACAATGAAAAAAGGAAAGAAAAAGAAAAAGTCACTGGCGTCATATTTAACCTTTAATGAATTTGTCAATACGGCTAGAAGTGAAACGGAGTATACTTGGTCTAAGTCCCAGTCATTATTTGTTATTTCTATTACCTACTCCCTCTGCCGTTTTAAAAACTACTGTTTATTTATTTTTACAAGGCAAAGATGGCATCCCACAAAATCTTTGATTTTGTTACATGATTTTCATTTTGTTTTAATCTTATTTCTCATTTGTTTTTTTTTTTTCCTCTCTCTTCTTCTCCCTCTCTTGGTTTCTTTTTCCTTCAGTTGTTTCTTTTAAGCCCTTACTATAAACCAGGAAAGGGCAGTTGCTAATCCCAAAGTGCTTCGGTGATACCTGTTTATAAAGCGTACTTTACGCCTTGTATACTGCAAGGCATGCAAGTTTTGCGGATTTTGAGGACTAGCTTCGTTACAAACGTCACTATCAAGCTTTGTACTTTGCTACCAGCGAATTCAAAATAGTAAGTACACCGTACTTGCAAATGAAATTGATATACTTGTCCTAGTTTTGTCCCTACTGCTGAAAAAAAAAATTAAAAATGTGTTTTGTTCGTTTATTTGTTTCCTTCCTTCATGTTTTTCTTTTGTTTTCTTTTGTTGTTGTTGTTTTCTTTATTGTACATTTTTCGTTTATATCTTTATTTCTTTCCACCTTTGAAAGCGTTTTTAAGAAATTGTGCGGACTACCCGTAAACGTATTAAAAATGAAATCCATTTTTTTTTTCACCTTTGATGGAATTTTCTAAAAAAACTACAGGGACTACTTACACACGTATCAAAAACTAAAAACTACCAAATTCTTATTTCTTCTTATTTAGAGGAATGCATCCTCTTCAATGATACAGAGTCAATCTGTTTTGGATGTTTACAATTATCATTAAGATAAATGCAAAATCTGTCAGAACTTTCTACGAAAATAATGAGTTTTAGCCGATCTATCTTAGGTCGGGAAGGGAAACCATAACTATGTTGGTATACACCTTTGACACTTACGTTACTTTGCAGTATCGTCGTTGTGTTACGTTGCGTTACTCGACAGTTCGTCATGTTACGTCAGGTTACGTTACCATCCATTAGGTGGCTACAATAAGTGTCGTTTCGTTAGGTTTCGTTTCGTTGTTGTTCGTTACATTCTGGTAAATACAAAGTTACTGAAAGTGACGTTTCGTTACGTTATGTTTCGTTACGTTACAGTTCGCTAGGTGACAGTAAGTCTAAGAGTGAACGGATCACGTGTAAGTGATCAAAAACTCAGGGTAAGACTGCCCATTTTCAAACACAACAAACAATGCAGGGTTCGTTGTGTCATTACAACAGGAGTCATACAACACATGGGGGTTGGATGAATCTTTAGGAGGAGGCCTTGTAAAAGATTTCTCTCCATTTGTGAAGGAACCCACCAGAACCTTAGCCAAGAACATTTGCTTATTACCGCGAGAGACACCGTGCTTGGAATAACAGTGAGAATAATTAGCATTAGAAGCAAAATAACTTCCCTTGCCATAAAATGTAGCATTTTTTCCGCACATTCGCCAGTCGAATCCCTGTTGGCAGATTGCTTCGACAGTGGTGGGGTTTGTTCCATGGAATAGTTGGCGTTCTTCGGGTTCTTTACCACTTTTCTTGGCCATGCGGTCCTTTTTCCTACAAATCAAGGACGAAAAAAAAAAAGATGTAAAATCCCGTTCAGTAATCTTGTTTGAGATAGTTGTTGCCATCTTTTTTGAGCTTTTATCTTTCTAATTTTCGGCTGAATGTTAATTCATATAAAACCTGAATTCAACGCGCATTTACATTGGTCATCATTAACTGCATTTTGATTTTTCATCTTACTAAACAAATAGATTCCATGCTGCTGTGTGTCAATAATAGATCACAGGAGACGTAAAAACGTAATAAGAATATCAATAACAGTATTTTTTTTTTGTTCTAATCACATTATGACGTCATATGTGATATATCACTGAACAGATGCACGCCAACATGCAATCTCCTTGTTAAATGATCTTTATATCATAAGAAACGAGATCGCCACAAGACTTAAAACGAGCAAAACAGTTTCCTTCACTTAGTAGAATAAAAACACAAACCATCTAATGCAAGTAATGGAAAATAGGCAATCCACTGAACCCTTTTCACCCTGATATCAATATCCATATTCTCCTTACTACTCTCTGCACATTTCCTAAGCAGCTGACAAGGAGAATTTGATGCACAATCAAGAGCTACTTTCGTTGGTGATCATCTCCTTTATTCTTGTTACCTTAATGTTTGATTCAGGAGTGATATTGTAAGGAGAAATTAGATGCTAGTCACTCTTAGAGGCAAAAGGGTTACAGAAAGAAGCCGCCATCACGACCATTCCATGTCCTCCAACTCCAAACTTACTGTTTATATTGAATCCACAGATCTGGGTTCTGCACTCGCTGAATGGAGACAATTTTGTGGCTCTTATCCATTGAATCTTGGAATCTCTTCTCAGTATTCTTGTATTCGACAGAGATGCTTGACAAACTCTCACACGAGTACTCCTCGCCAAAAGGAATAGAAGACCAGTGGGATGGCACTCCGTTTGTCTCTGTGGACGATGCGCCTGTTGGTCGGGCCATACCAGCTGCTTTGCGCCTGATAAAGAAAATAACAATAATCAAATTTAACCTGCAACAGGCTAATTGGATGGAGAAAAACATTATTTTTAAAACGTTGTAGGAAAAAACGACAAAAGTGTACGCGGCGATGGCTAAAGGTAATTTGGGTATCCAGTAGTCAGTTAATATCAATAACTAAGAAATAAATAGAGTCATCAAATCCGCTATGCCTCGTGCTGATACTGTAACGACATTACGTTAAATGGGAAGGGGGTGATGTGATTGATTAACGAATTATAGGGTTATCGCTTGCGAAGATATGAAAGTCATATATATGAACCGAGGTTAAAGAAATTAGTGAAAAGAAGGCCTGAAAAAAATTCATGCCTGTAAGGGTTTCGAACCCGTTATGTTGCACTGTAAAGTTATGCGGTGCTCAGTACTCTGTAGAAGCATGAATGAATGAATTCCTTATAAATATTGCGCCCTTTCTATACAATATTCAAAGGCACAGTACCCCCCATCAATTTGATAGACACTACACAAAGAGAGACCACAACACCCTACTCTTTTCGAACAGTGTGTGGGTTCTTTAACGTCCCACAATTTTCTTTTTCACATACAAGGGCATGTGAGACGGGACCTCCATTTATTGTCCCTATCCGAGAAGACTAGAAAGTCTAACCATTTGCAGATATTATTACAAAGGCGGGACTTTCTTCTCAGTTATTTAAAGACCCTGAGTGGTGGTCCGGCCGGATTTGAATTCACGACCTCCCACACAACAGTCCGGCGCTCTACTAATTGAGCTACCCGGGAAGCATCAACAAACAGTCAGAAATTTAAAACCGGATTAACGATGTACTTAAGTCAAAACTCATGGTCGTCAATTAGTTCACTTTTGCAACGCGCACAAATCCCTACTTAGTCGACCACGGGACTGCGAGACTGCAGGAGCAACTATTTAATTTGGCGACTTGGGGACTGCGGGAGCAGATTTAGCCGTCATTCACGTGTTAACTGCCTGGTGTAAAAATCCTTAACTCAAAGAAAGTAATAAAACGGCAAATCAATCTAGTCATTTCGCCTGAAAACAGAGCGGATTTCAAATGAAAAGAATTGCCTCGCGAACTAATTCTAAATGAACCCCAACTCAAAGATTAATAGTCACGTTTGTTTATTGCCAAATCTTTAGAGTTACATCTTAAAAGTGCCCTTTATCCTGTCCCTGTGTTTCCAAACAGCACAACATTGTAGAATAAGCACCTTGAGCGGTAATCTCTTCTTCATATTTAAAGTCTCACTTTTAATGGTCCCCCACCCCCACCCCCCATATACACCCCGTGCTTTCATACGTCACAATCACCTTTGAGCGATAATGTCTGTCATATTCTGTTTGGACACAAACTCTGCAGGCCTCCTTCTCACGGGCCTTTCTGTTTTAAACTTGTCATTTTTCTGGCACCATCTTTTAAAGTGCAAAGTATATTGGTGATGAGATGCACCAAAAGGGTGAGTGTCCTTGCCTATATAAAAAACCAAACAAACAAACAAAGTTTAACCCTATAATTCCTAAATCTGACTTTTAATTCTCCCCTATAGCTGCTGCTTATTTCCTTGTAAATTAGTGATGAGAATTGGTGTTAGATCAAGGTATCCATATCTACCTGGTTAAGTTCAAGCATTTTCTTTACCTATTTGCAGGATAATGTATGGATATCATGACAAGAGGTTAAATGTTAATCACTTCTGGTAGTTACAGGGTTTTAATGTATGATGCAATAAGAGAGATACAATGTTAAATATTTAATTTCATGTCAAAGCAAGCTAACAAGTTGGAAGACTTCAAGGCTGATCCTGCCTGAGGTTATTCCAGTCTCAGTAACATGTGGACACAAAGAGTATTGCTTTCCCCCTTCATGGGAGATCCCAGACCATCCTTGAGTTATTCCTCAGCAAGTTTCATTTTTCTGAAACAGTTTGTGGTTACCGATTATTTACACTGTATTCCCAGGTAGAAAGGAGTAGTGTGTCTTGCCTAAGAATAGACAGCGACCCCAGCTAAGACTTATTCAACCAAGACACTTCAATCTTACCCTGCGAGCAGAGGTCCCTTTGATCTTCCTTGAAATGCTCGCAGGGTATTCCAATCTGGACCCCAGCCCACAAACCAAAAGACCACTACATCTCCCTTGACTCCACCCTACCTGCCAAAGCTCCTCGAACTCCTTCCTTATCACATGCTCACCAAACTTACCAGAAAGTTCTTTCTTGACTATGTAGGGGAACAGAAGGGTAAACAAGAAATCAAATATAAATAAGTGTGTTTTACTGAGTTGAAAAGGAAGACTAATGCTATGATATATTTTCTTCCCCTTTACAGCATCCAGTTATTCACTTCTACCTTACCTGCCTGATAGTCTCTTTCAAGACACTCACTGCTAGTCGTGTTGACAACATGTCCATCGCCAGGAGTATCATATGACTGCCACTTGTTATTCTCATCCTTCCAGAACCACTCCCATCTCGTGCAGAACAGATGGCCTGCTGCAGCAACCACTGATGATACGGTGGATAGTCTTCGAACCTTTACCACAGACTCAGTAGTCCTTAGCACTAACAGAGAACAAGCATAAATATTGTTAGCTTCAACTTCTGTCAAGACAGGGGTATACCCATTATTCTTCAGGTCTACTTGTGCATGGTAAAGGTTTGATAATAGTGTTTCACCACAAGAGAAGGTCGTGCCTATCCCCATCTTTTCCAAAAGCTGTAGCCTTCTTTAAAGATTTCAAACAAATGAATAATAATAATAATAATGATAATGATAATAATAATAATAATGATGATGATGATGATGATGATAAAATGATCAGATCAATTTAATGGCCAATTCATGCACCAAGTGAGGGAATTAATTTAATAATATGAGACTGGATCTCTCAGCATTTCATGTGGTTGGTCCTCACATTTTCCCAATTCTTCCTAGAAAAAGTGAAGCAGGCAGAGATAGGAAACCTATCTAAGGTTCAGCTTTTCTGTTCATCATCTTTTTTTTTCATCCTGACATATAAGAGAAGGTAGCTTTGGTGCTGTCCCAAGAACATTTTTGTTTTGGTTATACTTGTTTATTACTGGATATTTGAATATCTTAAAATAAACTTACTTTTCACCATGAATGTCAACATCTTAGCTGTGGCACCTGGAAATGAAACTGGAACAGCACTCATATCTTGGAAGTTCACAAAATATAGAGATCC